TCGGGAATAAACGTTATTATTATTATTATGAAACAAAAAGAATTATGCAGTTGACAAAATACGTGATGTTATAATGCAATCAAAATGAGAGTACAAATCACCACACTTTTTCCCTACTAGAGTGTTGACCGTGAAAAGTGAAAGCGCTCAATTTATTGAAGTAATGAATCGAAAAGCTTCCCACTTCGAGTTTCATAATCAGCTTAGTGCTGAGGGAAACGGACGTGTCTTCCGGAACGACTAGCGGAAGGAGAAAGGTTGGCGGTAGGGGTACCTTGGGTAGGTTCGGGTGTTGCTGGGATAGCAGGATACCTGGATTTGTTCATGGGTGCTTCAATGGAGGCAGGCCTCAGTCAATCAATATAGACGTTATCGTGCTTTCCGCTTCTCTCTAAAGCAAAGTATTTGGAGTGACGTTTGATTATTTTGAAAGGGCCATCATAACAGGGTTTTGAGGGTTTCCCTCGTTGCGGCATGTCAGGCAAGGACAAACGGTGTAGAAGAGAGATCGTTTGCGGTGCGTTTTGTTCCCGTTGATCGTCTGGCCGATGTCGCACGGAGTTCGAACATATGCTGTTTTAAACGAGTGACGAACGTGACGGGTGATTTGGGCTGTGCGCCAGAAAAGGAAGCCAGTTCACCGGGTAAACTTAAAGTTGTACCGTATTCTAGTTCGACTGGTGAACAGTGAAGATCCTCCTTAAGGGTGGAGCCAATTGCAAGCAAAATTAGGGGTGAAGACGGGGACCATGAAGATGGGTTCATTTGAGCCGTCAATGCATTTCTGTGGTGTTGATGGAAAGGTTCAACCAGACAATCAGAAGAAGGGTGATACGCGGTAGTCGAAACGTGATGGAAAATGAATAGCGTGGAAAACTCGCGGAAGCGACTACACTGAAATTGTGAAGCGTGATCGGTAGTAACGGTAAAAGGTATTCCAAAGTCACTCATTCAATGTTGCAAAAAACGAAGAGGCCGTCGTTTCAGCAGAAGTATCTCTTTATGTTCTTTATGTTCTCAGCGTGGGGCAGCATGCTTGCCAGCGCGAGGATTCGCATAAATAAATGTCCAATAGTGCCTTGAACTGGGTTCTAGAAGGAGCGTGGACAACCTCCGAAGGAAGGTTATTCCAAGCAGCTACTACTCGAAATGGGAAAAAAATTTGTCTAATGCATGTATGCACCCTGAGCTTGAAAATCCTATTACCATGTCCCCGGCTTGTGTGTACTGGATCAACGCCAAAAAACCTGTCGGTCAAGCTTTGTGCAAACGGGACATAAGTAAGAATTCGGTCCCTTCTGTGGCGACGATACTCCAAGGGAGAGGTCAAGCACCGCGAGCCGCGCTCCGTATTCCGCGGATTCGAAGCCGGCAACCATTCTCGTAGCGGCTCGCTGGACACAATCAATGATGGTGCGGTCCTTCGTGCGTCCTGAGTGGACAACTTGTTTGGCGTATTCCAGGAGTGGTCTGACGCAGGCCCCATAGAGTAACTACAAGCCCATGTGAGTAATACGGGAGAGGGTGCATCGGATCATCCGTAGAATGGCGAATGCCTTTTGGGCTGATTTCTCATGGCGCAGTGAGAAGGACGAGTTTGAGGGGACCTAGATACCCAAATCCTTTTTGGCATCTATCCTCATGATGTTTTCAGGTCCTTTCTCATCATGCATAACTAAGGCATTCACCGAGTCTCCCCAAACGACATATGGACGCACTTTTCATCATTCAGAGGAAGGCGCCAATCCAACGATCACTGCTTTGCAGCATTTGGAGCCATTTGGAGGGCACTGGCATTGGAACTCCAGGATTTCAAGCCGTCCGCAAAAACTAGACCTGGACTTTCAAGAACATCTGGAAAGTCGTTGACGTAGATCAGAAACAGCACTGGTCCCAGGATGGGGCCTTGAGGAACTGCAATGGAGACCGGTGCAGGAGAAGAGCAGGTCAAGCCTATTCTCATTCGGAGTGCTATGTCTAATAAAAAGACCTTGATCCAACGAAGGATTTTCATTTGAATCCCGTAAGATGGAAGATTGTGGAGCAGCGGACATGTGGGACCCTATCAAACGCTTTCGAGAGGTCGAAAAATATGGCATCCTATATGAGTCCTTCGTCTTTGGAAAGGGATCACTGCTCTTACTAGAGCTCATCAGCAGTGCACATCCAGTGTCCGTACCGGGATTTGAACCCCGGGACATCTGACATGCTAGGCGACCCGGGAAACCCGGGCAAAAGGCTCGATCCTGTATAGCAATCAGTGAATCCGTGAATCCGAAATGGACACAGTTACTGGCCAACGGGTAAAACCATCAACCATAGTAAAGGTATAGGTGAAACCGTTTGGTGGGGAAAGTGGAGCAACAATGTCGAGATGAACGTGTGTGAATCGAGCATCAGGAACGGCAAATGAACCAATGGATGAGTTCGTATGCCATGTTACTTTACTGCGTTGACAGGCTATGCAGTGTTTGGCCCAGGATGTCAGGTCCTTATTCGTGAAGGGACATACAAAGCGTGCACTAATCAACTTCTTGGTTTACTTTGATTCCTGGATGAGAAAATCCATGAAAGCGGTCGAAACCAACGGGGACGATTGGGCAAGCTGAGCCGGTAGACATAACACAAAAAATGGTTCCGGATTGGAGGGTAAGGGAACTGAAGAGGCTTGAAATGAAGGGAAGGATAGAATGGGCAAAAAATTGTGATCACTATTTTCAAGGTTAACCAGCTTGGCTAGATCCAGCTGCGTGGAAGGGTGAAGAGCGTTGATATTAGGACGGGATAGGGCATCTTCGTCGACAGTATCCGAACCTGGAGTGTACCGGATGTCGGTAGTGAACTGTAAAATGTAGTCAAGATGGCGTATCTCGCCTGGTGATTATCGATCAGGCTTGGCGTTAAAGGCGTAGGTGATTGGCTTATGGTCAGTTCGAATAGTAAACGACCTAACTTCTAACAAGTGCCGGAAATGACGAATAGCAAGGTAAATTGCGAGCAATTCACGACCAAAAGTACTGTAACGCGTTTGGGGGGGGGCAAAATAACAGATTTTTATTTGGAGCCAAATAGATCGGTCAGTGGCTTCAAAATATCTGCACAGTGAGGGATGAATCGCCGGTAGTAGTTGGTGATACCTATGAAACGACGAAGTTGTGTGAGAGTCGTGGGTATGGGAAATTACTTTAGGGCCAAAATGCGATCCGGTAATGATGGAATACCTGTGGCGTGAATGTGGTGGCCAAGAAAATCCAGGTTAGTAACACCGGATAAGCATATGTCGATGTTTAAACGTATGTTGTAAGTGGAAAGACGCTTAAATACTTTCCTTAGATTAACTGTATGCTCAGTTGGGAGGTGCTAGCGATTAAAACATCGTCAGGATAGGCAAACACAAGGAGTAAACCACGTAGAATGTTGTCCATGGAAAGTCGGAACACTTGAGCTGCACTTCGAAGACCAAAAGTCATACGCGTGTATCCGAAAAGGCCATACGGTGTTGTGATGGCTGCCTTAGGGATGTCGTCCGGGGCTACGGGTATGTGGTAGTATGCACGTACGAGATCGAGTTTGTGGAAAATGTTTGTGTGGCATAGGGTACTTGCGAAATCGTGGATATGTGGGATGGGATTCCTGTCTTGGACGATCGTGTTACTGATAGAACGGTAATCTCCACAGGGTCTCCGATCACCCTTAGACGTCTTAGGTACCATACATAGGGGTGATGGCCAATGACACGATGAAGTGCGAATGATACCGAGTTCGAGCATGCACTCGAACTCATGTTTTGCGATTTGCAGCTTATCAGGATGAAGTCGACAGGGGTTGGTATAAGCAGGGGGACCTCTCGTCTGGATGCGATGAACGATGGAATGAGTGACCGGTTGGTTATACTGATATGGATGAGTAAGGGCTGGAAAATTTCTAAATATGTCAGCAAAGTGTGAATCAGGTAAGATAACTCAGATAGCTGTGGCTGAGTTGGGGCACTAATTCCGTTGACTGAGAGGGAAGTTAGCATGCCCAAGTGGCGTTTGTTCCAACATCGATATATTAGTTATAGTGGGTCAGGTAGCCTGCATCAATGATGGGTGTTGGGACGTCGGCCAAAAAGAAGATCCACTTGAACACACGTCGCAATCCGAGGTCAATGGTGAGGAAACGCTCGCCGTATGTAGCGATGCGGGTACCGTTAGCGGCTTGTAACGAGAAAAAAAGCAGAATCAAGAAGTGGATTCTTATGTGGTAGCACGCTAACTTCGGCCCCCGTATCTACGAGGAAACGTAGATCATTAGCACGATCGGTGGTGTGGGATAGACGGCTAGTGCTAGGAGGGCAACAGGCATTTTTCACCGTTGGTGACTGGCCGGGGTGTTATAGGTGTGCTGGTACGCGGCTTGAAAGAACAAGGCGTTTGGCATTTGCGTGCCTGAGGACCGAAAGATTGGTGATACCAGCACCAAGAGGGACGGGTACGAGACAATTATCGGGGTCGTGAGCGTGGTCGATGCTTGTTGATCTCTAGCCGTTGTAGTCGATCAGTCAAAGTATCGAATTTAGCTTGTAGTTGTGATATGGAAGCAAGAATCAGATTGAAATGTGCAATAGTGGGTGTGGGGAAGGAGACGGAGTCTACGGGGTTACTGGGGCAGGTTTCGTGAATTTTATCTGCCATTTGGTCTAGCTGTTCCAAGCTGTGATCATCAACAAAAGAACTGACGACGGGGGTGGAAGTTTTTCGAGCCACATTTGAGCCAAGATTTCCACCGCCAGCTTACGGCCTCAGAGAAGACTGTGCATATGGCGAAGCAGTGGTAACGGTGATCTGTCCATAAGCTTGACTGCGGTGAATGAGTTCCGTAGCATCTTGATTACGGACTTCCCTGCCCTACTGATGACGGACACTCGAAGGGCGTCATAGGGATTTTCCTTGAGGATATCTTCCGACAAATCTTCCACTTTGGTTGCTGCATCGCAAGGAGGATGTTGGACAGCATAGGGGAAAACGTTTGGCTTGGTAAGTGATGCGTCAGGTAGTAAAAACAGCTTCGACTTGATGAAACCATACCCTGAGATTGTGGGGATTATAGTCTTGTAAACTCACGCTAACTGCATTCTCGACTAAATCCGATGAATCAAAGTGTGCCCCCATAATGATCGGGCAAAGTAAAAAAAATTATGACGACTTGAGAGGAAATGTTTTGAAAATATATCTAGAAATACTCCGGCTCACCAAATTTGCAGTGGTCTTGCCACCCATTAAGTTACCTTACCAGAAGTGTGTGGTAAAGGAATAAAAATTCATTGCGCTAGATTGAGTACACAGTAATAAAGAGGTCAGATTGGAGTGAGTCATTAATGATTGTTCCTCTTATTATAGTTCGTCGTAGGCCCAGTTCAGCGGACAGACAATAATCCTATCATACTCGTCCAGGGGTCTTCTTCTGAACAGTTCTCACATGTAATAGATCCCGAAGATATTATGAAATGTTTTACTACCAGAGTTAGCCCATGTGAATCGCGAATGACCGCTGTAAGCGCGAGCGAAATTGGAAGAGATAGTCGAAGCACGTGACTACGTTTGTATTGCGTGAACTTGCACAAATGCAGGTTTTTGTATTTTCCGTATTAGAACAAAGGCAACAGTTATGCAGTTGAAAAAGTACGTAATGTTATAATGGAGGTAAAAGAAAGCACAAAACGCCATAAGGGAATAGTTGAATAGCCGATCGCTGTGGGATACGGTAATGAAGAACAAGGGACACTTTTTTATTTATATGTCGTCACTCTTTGGAGCACGTGTGCCAAGTGCTGCACAACGTTGTTTTCATGCTTTTGTGTACAACTTTTCCAGACAAGGAAATTTTTCCTTCGTCTGTATTTTCGAATATTGCCGGATGTGTGCACAACCGTGACAAGCGCAAACTAGCGTCCACAGATGGACAGCAACGGAGCCCTCATGGACATCATGAATTAGAGGCTAGCCCCAGAACTACCGGCGACGAGCGAGGCGCCCCTTATACTCGAAGCTTGATGAATGCACGAAGTGTTGTGTGATTTTTTCTGAAACACCATGTTAGTAAATAATCTATAAAGGTCGTGGTTGTCGAACAACCCTTCGGTACATGAGTTGTGCATATACACCGTGGTTTGCAGAACGGCAACGTGACGAACGAAATTTGTACATCAAAGCTACAAACTACAGTGCACGGCTGCTCAATTTTTTGTTCCATTACACAAATTGAATGATTTCAACTAATGAAGCCATCGCTCCCAAAACTTGGCTTCTTATCCTTCACTTCCTAACCTTCTGGCGACCTTAAACCTAGCAGTTATTATCAAAGCGCCCTCGGTACATTGTGTATAGCTGATACACTGACTGACCGACACGCAGCACCGAACACTCAATTCGGTTTATTTGTCCAGCTACTCAAACGCCGAAAATAGTTTATAATCAGCCTTTTTGATGGATCCACGAAACTGACCTCAGATCCAACCGGGATTTTGCAAATCAACGTAGAAGCCGCACAAACAAACACTACGGTAAGAGCCACTAACTTGCTGATTAAAGGCGGCCAACAGAAATAACGGAAAGTAGTTTTCAACAGATATTTTCCAGCCTGCTGATTAGTCAAAATCTCAATTAAAACCCACGATATCTCCTTCACCACGGTCAATCCACACGCAGCTCAGAATAAGATAAACTTGGCAGAATGCGTGGAGCTTCCGTCTGAGTGGTCGTCACTCGAGGGGCTAATAAACAAGTCATACGGATTCTGTGATTGAAAGGTCTGTGGAGCTATATCCTGCGTAATTGCAAGTTGATCACACGGCTGATCAGATTCCCGTGGCTTGGCTGTTTAGCGTTCAAACTGCTAGCAGGCATGGGATCGTGGATTCGATACTTTCAACTAGAGTTTCATGAGATGCTCACTGACCATGATTCCCACTAAAGATGAAACGGCTTCTCACTTCCAACGTAGACTGGTTCACAAACACCAACTCTACTTACATTACAAGTAATGGAAGTAGATCGCATGCCAAAACAAAACCTTCAAAAAAATTTAGCCAAATTGACAATTTCAAAGACAATATAAGTTTCTTCAAGATATCGACATAAGCTACAGTTTTATGTGAACTTTTGCTTCCATAACCTCACGGTTTTGGACAAAGTTTGCCAGGGATGTCACCGAAGTGAGTGATCTGCGCGTCATCAAAATTTAAAAAAATAATCTTCCTACCTTGATGGATCTGCTACCTTTTAGATCAGTGACGCAGGTTTGAGTCAGAGAAAACTGGCTCTGGTCATTTTATATTTGAGTCTGGTTTGAAATCAATACAAACCACTTTTCCTAGTTTATTCATATTGTGAGGTAAGCAGCATATCTGATACAAATTGTATGGTGAGAAAGAAGCAACCGACCCATGTCATTCGTCTCGTACAGCCAGACCGGGCATTTTATCAGAAGCTTTATAAAGTACTTCGCTGGTGTGGAGATCATGAGTATATGTCATATACTTGGCAGCTTGTTTCTACTCGTGGAGCAAACAATAAACACAGGGGGGCCATAACAAATTTAGCTGTTTGTTGGAACCAAGCGAAGGTCGAAAATACGTGAGACACGGTGAGTTGTGTTTACTGACAGCAAATCAAAAAACCCAGTTGATTTGAGAGCACATCAAACGGATGTGCACAGCAACTGTATAAAATTATAAACGATGAGTTTACTTTTTTTAAAAAAAACTTGGGTAAACAGTATATCATGAATAAGCTTGTTTGGTGCCAGGGTATGTAAGACAACTGCATTTACACGGGTGGTACTGAATAAAAAATGGAAATAAAGGATATGTCGCTGTGAAAACATAGTAGCTGACGATGCCAGAGTAACGCGGGATGGGTTGCTTCGCAAAACGAAGTCGGATAAAGTACAAGGTGAGTGAAACTTTTATCTGAGAGGCCATTGCTCAAGGAACCAAGCACTATGTGGTCTCGTGACTTGGTTTCCGTGATTGAACGATAAGTGGTGCCTTGTCCTATCTGAATGTGAGCTAATCGCCCGCCGGGCTAATTGTGGAACCGCTAACCGGAGGGTCGCGATTTCCGAACTTTCTGAGGTTTGTTAGATGTGCACTGCTAAAGATTCCCGATAAAAGTGAAACATCTGCACAGTGCCTTTTGGCTTTTCAATAAACACTGGCATAAACCGATCGGACGACGTCTTTATTGAAAAGTGCGTCATAAACGACAGGTGTTCTAGACAAACATGATGCTTCCGGATGAATGGCGATTGAATCCTACGTACAGATAGAACAGTCTGTTCGTGCCGGTCCCAAGAAGATGCATGTTACGACCGTTTCGAATTCTTGAGCAACGAGCAGCAAGGTTAGCAACCAAACCGGCAAAACTCCGAACGAATGGCTACACAAAAAATGAAAGTGGTTACACGGAATACAAGATTACAAACCTCAACGGTTTTCGACAAACGGTGAGGTACTCCAAAAGGCAAGCAGAGCCAATATGGATCAACAGTCAACGCGTGACCGAAACCGCATCTCAAACTCATGAATTAAAACAATATATAGCTGCCCAAGGATTTGGTACAAAAATAGTATAACCAGGGCGGTAAAAACTATTTGCATGGTAAGAAAAACGGAGAATATAGATGTCTTGTAAAACTGAAATAGGGTACAATTCCACCAGTCCAAAAAGGGCGGTCCATTTGAATTGTTAACCGGGAAGACAGTCATTCAAGATTGGAGGCAATTTTAAATATATATGAAGTTGCAACAATGCATCACCCACTGATGTAGTGGAGAGTTACGCAAGGTAAACATACTGGGAGGGACTTTGGAGAAGCGCAGCCGAGCGATTCAACCATGAAATCGTCAATCTAACAGGAACCCGAAATGATCCTTCGCAACAAGCGGGAAGGATGGTATATCACCCTTCTACCTTGTTTATAGCCTCAGCGGAAGTCGTCGTGTGATAATTAGAATAGTAGTAGTTATCGTAACTACCGAATGTACGTGTAGTATTCAATCTAACACCCGAAATGATCCTTCGCAACAAGCGGGAAGGATGGTATATCACCCTTCTACCTTGTTTATAGCCTCAGCGGAAGTCGTCCGTCGATAATTAGAATAGTAGTAGTTATCGTAACTACCGAATGTACGTGTAGTATAGAAGTCCGAATATGG